AACCGGAGAGGGCAAAAGTGTCAAAGATTTAACAGTCGTGCTTGTTGTAATCTAAACTGAATAAAAAAGAACACGCTGTCAAATACCATTTTATAAAAGTGCGTTGTCCAGTCGACTTGCACCCATTGGAGTTTCATAATATGAAGATTCTTCTTTTTTTGTTTGCGTTAACAGGTTGTAAATTAGGAGTAATAAAATCATATGTTCTGATAAGAGACATAATATTGGCCAAAATTAAGGAAGTGGGAATAATAAATCCCGGGCTGTTTAATGATGTCTAATGTTATCCTAGTACATTTTAAATATCTAGCGAAATTATGAACAAACAAAATTGATTAAAATTTGACTTCCGCAGCGCTTTGGTCGAACTTTTTTTTTAGTTTAATATTAATGGGGGCGTTCAAAGGGTCAACGAGGCGTATCCCCAACAACAATGCAACCCATTCTGTCGAATTCTGGGTAATGCTTTTAATTAATTCTTAGCAGCAGAGCAAAAGGCAAAGCAAAAGTCGCGAATCGAGTCCAGGCAAAGATTCAAAGTCAAGTTGCCTGCAGCGCTTGCATGAAATAAAAATATTATGAATAAAATCCATTCATGCAAAAGTCGCCCGAAACCCAACCGCAAGTGCGCCACTTTGGCATGAATGCATGTGTGAACGTGTATGTGAGTGTGGTGGCTGTGGCTTGTTAAGGCAACCACATGCCGCTCGCAGCAGGGCGGGCGAAAATCAATTTTAAAGTGAATTTAATAAAAGTGCATTTATGCGCATTTTGTGGCAATTAAATGCAATGTAAATGTTGGCCAATCGGAGGCTTCACTGTGAATGCTGGCATATTAAACACATGTCGCCTGGTCGCCTCCTCGCCCTGCCCTCTGGCTCCGTCTGAATGTGCTGTGGGAAGATCAGGCTCTCCAGGCATTGCAGGCACGTGGTGTAATTAAGCTGATGTGCAAGTCTTTGACGTGGTGCGAACATTGTCAGCAGCAGGCAATTAAATTGATGCCTGAACAGACAACTTAACCCACAATTTCGGGCGCGTTCTGCCGCGACAGATTTATGACAATCACGCTAAGCAACTCTAAGGGGCTCGCTGGCTAATCTAGGTGACGGCTGGAGGGGAGGCGTGGCCTGGTGCTGAGTTCGGCTCACCTGGCAACTGCCGTCGCTGGTCGTAAATGTGCGAGCCAAACACTTTGAAATAAACATTTCAATTTGTTGCCACCGCTGCTGTGGCAATTTGGTGTGAAAAACTTGTAGATATTTTTAGATGTCGCCTTCTGCCGACTCCTCGCCGGCTGGCTGCTCGCCGATTTTATGACCATGTGACGGGAACATCTTCGTGCCAATTGCATGGCAGGCAAAATGTGTCAAGTGAGCGGTAACTGATGTAGCGAGTAACAAGCAGACGCACCACCATCAACCACCAGCAGCACCAGTGACTTCGACAGCAGCGCCAGCGGCACGGTGAAGTACAGCGGAGTAGAGCGACATAAGCTGCAATTGCATACAAAACATCGTTCATTGTAGAACAACACATGACTGAAGAAAGCAGAACAGCTGGGTCGGGGGTTCACTTAAAAAGACGTTGCCTTCATTGCGGCAATTGTCTGAGCCAGTTAGCTGCAGCCACTCTTTGAGAAAGACTGTCACTGTCAATGTCTCCTTGCCAGAGCTTGGCAATAATTTGTTTATGGACCTGGCTTTTGGGTTAGAAGCATGCTGCGTTCTCCCGCCCAAATACATTACACGCGCGATGCTAATCTGCTTTTAATTAAAAGCAAGGAACAAAGCTCTAAGCAGCTTTTACTTGCCCCCTGCGTGAGCCTTGCCCAACTTCACTTAACTCAACTCGACCCTACAGCGGAGCCGACTAATTGCCATTTGTTTTGGCTGCCTGGTTTTTATTGTATGTGGCATTGCAGCCACATAAAAGGCATTTGTTTCTGGCCAAATGTGATACTGGCAAGACATGTGCCTACAGCGCCAGGAGTTAAATAGGTTGGGTGCGATGTCAATTACAATACAAATGTCTTCACTGACAATGACACGAAATGAATGACAATGAGCATATGTATTAAGAGAAGCGGCAATGAGAAAACTATATATGCAACCGTCCTACGAATAGAATTAACATCAAAATATCCAAGCGGCATTTGCAGAACTAATTTAAATCGGTCAACAAATTAAGGTATTTCTTATTAGTGCGCAAAAGTATGCAGATATATATATGTTTATTAATTAATCAAGAAGAACCAAAATTTCTCGTTTTTGTATTTATTTTTTTCTCTCTCTCTCTCTTTCTGTCTCTTTCTTTCTCATTCTCTCTGTAAGTCTCTCAAGCTCCATCATTTTCTCACAAGCTGCCAAACTAACGAAAATCACATAGAAAGCCGTTACTGAATAAATCAAAATATTAAAAAAATTTATCATAAAGATATAATTCCATTAAACTGTCCTCGTCGCCAAGCCATTAATGATTGATGACAAAATATTAAGTAAAATCAATCAAGCTATGAAACAAGTTCAACCCTGACTAAAAAATACCATGGCCATGTAAAATATGTCAAAGACAATTAATTATAAAATTCATAAAGCGAACGCAAACGCCCAAAAAAACAACCGAAAAGCAAATAACAGAAACGTCCCGTTTCCAACCAAATGTATGAAAAATGCGGCTGACAAAATTGTCTTTCATAATAATTTGTACAAACAAATACGACGGGGTGGCGGGGGGTGGCAGACCGCCTGCCAGTACGATACAAAGGTAGAAATAAATCAGTTGTAATGGAGGTGGCGGGTGCGGCAATAATTATAAAAACGATGTTTTCGTAAAAATGCCAGACAAAAACAATATGAATATTATAGGCCCATCCTATGTAGACAGTAAAAATAATGTTTGCAGGCGAGAGCAATAATAATGTTGCTGCAAACACGTGTTTACAGCAGCAATGTGATGCGACCGCAGAGCAGCAGCAACAACAGCAGCAACAGCTGGGAGCAGACAATGACCCCGGCCGCACATCCCCGAGATGCGTCTGTGTGCACATTTTAATCAATAAACAAACGTAAAAATATGACAAACAAATTAATAAAATGCAACAACACAAAAGATTGAAGCAAAGTTCGGGGGCGGCGCACACAGAATGACAAAATGTGATAAATGAAGCCGCGCGTAGGCCTGCCAATGACAATGGAACAGCACCGACAACAAGGGCTGTCAGTACGGAGGCAGCCTCTGACTAAATATAGATGCCCCTCCACCCTCTTCAACAGCATGCATTGTCGTGTAATTGTGACAATTTGGTCCCATACAAATGGCATAATAAATGTTGAGCGTAGGAAATGATGTGTGAAGTGCAGCCGATCTGCCACCCTTTGCTCAACCCTTACCCAACCCTTTGAAAGTTGCCGGAAGTGATTTCTGGCTCAACTGAACGGCCAATCGCGGGTTTAACTAGACTGCAATCCTATTATTCGAAATGCTGCTGCTACATCATTGCGCCGAGTTCCAACAATAACCAAATTATTAAACGAGACAGGGTTCACCAACTATGAGATACTCTATATAGAATATGTAGTTTTCGAAAGTTATCGTCAAATTCATATCATTAAAAAACTTTATATAAAAGACAATTCATATCTATGATATACCCTTTCTGCACTGTACGTTGAGTTTTTCTTTCCGATTCGGGCGCTGCGAAGAGCAAATTTTGTAGCCGCGCCTCTCAGCTGGACTGAGCGTCTACCAAATGGGGTACAACGGGTTGGGATGACGACATCTAGGGACAAGGGCAACAACAATTTGTAGCGACGATGCCAACGGGCAGATGAGGAAAATGCAGAGCTTAAAGGATTTGAAAATGTACATTTCCGGAATTGTAGCGCATAATTAAGCAGCCGCGGGATGCCATAAATAATGAAACTGGTAGATTCGAAAATCCATAGGCAGCATCAATTAAAGGCTTTGTTGATGGGCTTCTGCAAAGAGAGCGTGAGGTTGTTGGCCAATTAGCCAGCCATCTATATAAGCATGCATACAGATACACACACACACACACTTATGCAATACAATATATGCTTGTGTTAGGTAAATTGAATAGAACGCATACCGATTGACCGCGCTAAGGTCAACGCAAATGCTTATCAGAGTGCCCCATGGAGTACCATAAATCAAGCGGGAAATTGCGGCACGTGATCGCCGCTGAAATGCGACCACCTCTGTTCGCTGGGGGAATGGGAGCGGGGGCGACTGAGGTTCAGGAGCTGCACTTGCCTGGTCATAAATTATTTATTTAGAACTTGGCTGAGTTTAACGGCATGCAATAAAATTAATATATATTTTTGCCCTGCGCTGCTTTGTCAACAACTAATTGAAACATTATTTGTCTATCTCTTTCCAGCTAATTGCAGGCCAGACCATTAGGAAACTTTGTACATGTGTGGGTATGTGTAAGTGTGGGCAAGTGTGTCTGCCACATGAAGCAATTAGACGCAGCACTAAAATCGCCTATAAACGTCAAGCAACAAAAATGTTCGCGGAAAAGCAGCCGAAACAGCGGAAAATCTAACGAGCAGCAACGACACTTTCCAGGCACTTGGCAACATACATACAGAAATCGTAAGCAACATGTTGCCAAGCAGCTGCAGCAGCAGCGGCAACATTTTAAATTTATTGCTAAGCGGCAATGGCAACAACAAAGTACCCGCAAACACTTCGTGCGTGTTTAGTCGCATTCGTATCTCTGTCGGCTGCGTATCTGTATCTGTCGGTTGTGTGACGCGCTCGTTGTGACTCCTCTGCAGGAGCGGCATAACAGAATGACGTATTAAACGCAGATAAACAAAGTGGAGAGCGAAGGATCTGTTTGTGGTACGGATTGTAGGCGGTGTATTCAAAAGGTAGCCGTGCGTAAGCCTGAAATCAAATACGTAAACAATAAATCAAAATAAAACGTGCTGAAAAACCTACGAACAAATATCAAATAAAAATACATATGCATAAATTCATCAAGTGAAAAGAAAAATCAAAGTGAAAACATTTCTAATTTTTTAGCGAGCAGAGAGTCAATATAAAAATCAAATAATTATATAATATTAGATTCAAACAATAGCCTTAAGTTGAGGAATGAAGAGTAAATTTCTTAAATAGTAAAAGAGAGTAAAAGAAGAGTAAAATTAATAAATAAACCAAACAAAATCCTAGACTTAATCGAAAAAAGTGTGGCTAATGATTTATAATAATGCTCCCCAATGCATGCTAGTCTAGACCCCAGCCCCAGCTCCAACTCCAGCAACGCGCCAAATTAAGCCAAATCTGGCAAACAGCGTGCCAAATTAATTAACTCGCTCGTCAGCTACCCGCTGCACATCTCTGCCGGTCCATTAATTTCACACTTAATTAATGTCAGGCTGCAAGTGCGGAGCAGGGCCGGTGACAAACGCTCGCAAAGTGTCCAAAAAGCGCGACTCGCTGACAATGTGGCAGACGCTATCAGCGCTATCCACATCACTCACAGTGCTCCCCACGGTACTCACACATGTGTCGGACTGTAAGTGCCAGCTCATCAGGTCAAAACAACGCACCAACATTAGTGGCACAAACACGGAAATGCAAAGTCATAGCTCGAGCAGCGGCAGCAATTCGGTCAACATGTTGCCATCAACATCAGCAGACACCGCGACGACAACGACAACGGCGACAGCGTCAGCGATGACTTTGACAATGACAACAACAGCAACAGGAGTGGTAAAAACCGCGCGTAGGTGCCACTGCCAGCCCAGCAACAACATTGCAACCAGCATCCTGCAGTGGCTGCTGCTACTGTGCATCTTATGTGGTAAGTACGAGTTGCAGCAACAACCAACCAACAATCAGCAAATGAGCTATGGCCAAAGGCCGTAAGTGACTTTTAGCAAAATGCGCTTAAATGTCTCTGATTTAGTGGACCACACAAAAACCCAGGCATTTCCACAGCCACACAGTCAAGTGATATAGAAATGGGCAAAAAAATAAATAAAAACAAGCTAAAAAAACTGCTGCAGCATTAGTCCTGCAACAGCTAGAAAAAAGAAAAACAACCTCGCAGCACAAATCAAGATGAATTTCCGTGCATTTTTGTGCAGATTTTTGTGTGGCTTTAGCCAAAAAAGAAAGATATATATACGCAGACAGGACGAGACATGAGAGTCCGCTTCCAAGTAAATGCAACGAACGCGCTCACAACCGAAGGCCCCAAACGCTTGTGTCTGTCTTTGGTTTTTTAGCCAAATCTTAAACGCTACAACAAATAAATGACTAAGAAAAGCACTTGTCGATGATGCTCGACAATGTAATACTCTATACCGAAGTAAGACGACAACCTTTTATTTTTTATGTCATTGTTATAAGTTCATAAGCAAATCTATATAAAAGATATAACTGATGTACTTACAGTTTTATTTTAATTTCGACAGAGAATCAAAATTAATTCGTGAATGTTCATGTTCTTAAAACACAATTCCCAATAGTGTTTAACAACAAACTGCTTTTATAAAAATTAACCACGACGCTTGCCCATTTGATGGGTATTCAAGCACTCACTGCCAATATATACACTTGTTACACCTTACGCTGCTCGTAGGAACAGGGTATGAGTTAATGGAAAAACATGTGAAAGGAAAAACATTTGAAAATAGTGCCAAGAAAAAGAAGAAACTAAAACGAGCAGTAAAAGGACACGAATCGTAAGACAGAGAGTGAGGGCAAGCGAGACAGACGCACAGCTGAGACAGCAAATAATACAAATTGACTCGTGTTTTTCATTTTTCCGTGTGTGTTTTTCACCGTTTGCTTTGCTGCTTTCAATAACTTTGCTTGCTGCAGAAGGTGGCTTTTTTGCTGCTGCCGAAGCAGCCGCAGTTGCTGCCACTTAAAACTGAAATTAACTCCAGCACACGAAAGTGTGCAACGAAAAACGAACATGCCAAATCAGGGAACATGTGGGTTATTGGTGTGTTTATGTGTGTGCATGTGTGTGGGTGTGTATGTGCACGAATTGCTTGATTATTTCGTTTTGAAATTGATGCTGCAATCAATTATAGAACAACACAAAGAAGAGAAGCAAAACGAATCGAATTCGGTTAGCGAACAGCAACCACAGCAGCCAAGAATAATGGCCAAGCCAGCAATTGAGGTTCCGTTGCCACTGGCAGCGCAGCCACGTTTAAAGCCAAGTCTTTGTTATTGATTTGCCAAGCGAACCCAAGGCGAATATGCTGCGCTATGCTAAAATAAACTGAAATCAATTTGGTTAAGCTCAACCAACCACTCAAGAGCCAGCCGACGCTGCCACCAGCCACCCAACTAATCAAGATAAATAAATATTTATAATTAATTTAAAATATAAACACGAAACACAGCGCGGCCCGCAATTAATTTCCGCAAGCGGCAGCAAAAGGAAATTCAACTAGAGCCAAAATATTGCGTATACGCAATGTGGACTTAATCGACAAAGCTGACGATGGCCGCCCTTGTCTTGATAAGGTTCTCATCAGAAACTTACAGGCATATGAATAAATGAATGAACGCATGAATAAGTAATCAACTGAAATGACCAGCACCACAACGAATGGCTAACGAATCAGAGGCTAGTGGCGGGGGCGGAAACAGACCAAGTGGCACATTGCGAAATTAAGAAAATGTGTAAGCAACGAGAAAGGTTAAAGCGCAGCAGCCGTTAAAGCAGCCCAAAAGGGTCAAGCAGCGCGTTAAGCGACTGTCAGCTATGGGTCAGCCAATACGTAGCTAATGAGTCCCAGCCCCAGCATCAGGTGTAGGTATCCTCAGCAGCAGGAGCATATCATGGGGCAGGAATGTGCGTGAGCCTGGCTGCCTGCGCGTGCTGCGCGTGCAGTCGATAAGCAACGAAAGGCGACTGATTGTGCGTGCAACATGAGGCTGACCGCAAATGCGCACAGATACGCACATTCATATGGTAAACACACACACGCACACACACACGTTCGGGCGGGCGCACCACAAATGATTTATACAGCGCGCTTTTTGTTCGGTTTGGCGCATTAATTACGCACATTTTGTTGAAATTTATTTAAGCGCACAGCACGATACATTAAACGATTTCTCACACACACACACACACACACAAGCTCTCTCTTGAAAAAATAATTAAATACAACGCACGCGAATTGGGCTGGGCGTGAAAATGCTTTCCAAATTTAATTACCAAAAGTATTCGTTATTCGATTTTGCGTTTAAAAGTCAATTTGCATAAATAACATCAGTGAGTCCCTTTTCTAACTCTAAGCTCTATTTGCCGACTAGCGCGCTGCATTCATAACATGAGTTCTTAACTAGAAATTTCAAATTTCAACTATAATGAAGGCAAAGCGAGAAAATTCTTCTAAATGCTAAATGTAACAAATAATGTTTTCAAGTGGAAATGTTTTCTTGTGAAAATAAACAAAATGCAAGGCATTTCAATGCTTTCGTAGGTAATATGCAACCAAGACTATTTAAAACTTTATTTTCTAAATGATAAACAGTCAAAAATACATCAATTAACCATTGAAAAAAATGATGTCCTTTTCATTATTAAAATGCAATACATACAGATCAATTGACAGGAATTTATCAGGCGGGTACCTTGTTGCTACATCGATAGCAATCAAAGGTACAGCCCACACGGCAGACATTCACTTTTATATTTTTGGCGCATCGCCCACGCACATACACACTCATACACTCACACAGCTATAGAGCCACACGGAGACAGATGTCAGTTGGTGATGCAGCTATTACTACGGTTCGCGGCTTTTGATAAGCTTTTTGATGACTGTTTGACAAATGTAAAAGTTTCAGCATTTCACTTGACTTCAATAAAACCCAATATTAAATGTTCAAACACGGACATTTCTATCTGAAAGCCAATTTTTTCTGAATTCGCCATTGGCGAATGTGTAAATAAAATTCTATATCCATGTTCAAGTCACACAAATATTGAAAATATATATTAAATGTGTAGTTCGTTAAATAACTTTTAGAGCTGCATACAACAATCTCCGAAATGAAATTTTAATACTTTTTAAGGGAGGGTTTTATGAAGAGATTATGTACTTAAGCTATTGATGATTATAGCTGACACTATCAAACACGCGCATACACAGACATATCTAAGCCATTCAGAAGCCATAAACTGTGCAAATAGAAACCAACCATGGAGAGCAAATATAAGTACATTATAACAACGTCAAAACCGTTCAGCCCATCAACGCAACCACACTCTCTCACAAACACACAGAGGCAATCAACCAGTTGGTATTAGCAATAAATGTTGACCAAAAATGTTAGTTGAATGGCCAAGTTCTCAAAACGCATAAAAACTATAAAAACTTTTCAACATTTCAATTCATAATTCAACACATAATTATATCTGGCTGGCTCTGTCTAGCTGTATTCCATGCCCTCTCTCTTTCTCTCTCTCTCTCTCTCTCTCTCTTTCTCTTTCTCTTTCTCTCTCTCTCTTTATGTGCGCACTGGTCAGTTGAAATGTGTCAGCAACTTTTCAAAACTGTAACAGTGCCAATTTGTCCAAAAGTACCATGGACAGCCCTTGGTCCTTCTCGTCCTGCGCCGCACATTGCAATTTGTAATGAGAATTCAACTCAAATTTCGCTGTTCACAAATTTTGAAAACATTTTGCTGGCATTGCTCATTCACAGTTGATATGCAAATACATATATTGCTTGCCTCGCTTATGCATTATGCTAAATAATTGTTCACATTCTCTGCCAAGCAGCAAGGGCAGGGCAAGTGCCAGAGTTGTTCGCCATTTTTGCAATTTGTTTTAGACAACAATATTGCGTTAATTATCACAGAGTGCCGTCAAAATTAATTATAGCCGCCGGGCAAACTGAGTAAGCGAGTGTGTGTGAGCCATCAGTTTAATTTTGCGCAGCTTGTTATTGTTAAGCACGCGTAATTACATGAAGAATTCATGTGTGAAAATTTGTTTTTGTTAACCCAAAATTGTTGAACTTTAAAGCCAACGTTTTATGGGATTTTATGCACAGCCCAGAAAGAGAGAGAGAGTAATTGACAGCCCTACAAAAAATACGCAAAGAGCAAATTGAAAAACTTGCGAGCGCGTTGCTTAACTTGCAGTTGAAATATGAAAAATAAACTTGGCGTTCAGCTTCCTCAGCCCAATGCCACGCTACAAAATGTGCAAGCAAATTTTTAAAAATTATTGCACATCATGCCCCAGAAAGCCGCAACGGGATAAGCAGCTGCCGGGCGCGCCGCCAGGATGAGCGCAAGCAGCAAATGTTGGCGGCGGGTGCGCAAACAGGCTTTAGGGCAGACAATAAGTTAAATTAGTTTGCTAGCAGCACGGCGTTTACGCCTCCAAGCCCTTAGCGCTTTCTCTGTCTCTCTCTATCCCTGTCTCTATAGCTCTCCCGCTCTGTCCACATGACAACAAAAATATGACTCATAAATTATCACAAGTGAGTTCATCACACGGCTTGCACTTGCCACATTGAGTGGCCGCGTGTATGTCTGCAAAAGTTCGTCTGGCTGTAACCGGCTCGGCAGCTGCTCCAGCATGCCGAGCACTCCCTGCAACCTTCCACCTTCCACCTTCTTCGCCCGCGCATATTTGTAACTAAATCTGTGAGCTCAGCAGCAAAAGTTTATGTGGTCTACATATGTGTTTGTGTGTGCGCATGTGTATGCGGATTGCCTGTTGAGTGGTGTGTGGGTAGTGCATATTGTCATAATGTTGAATGCATGATATATTGAATTGTGCAGTCAATAAACGTTTTATGATCACAGCTGCACATATTTCAGTTTCTCTCTGGCAAACTTGCTGCGTAAATCGAAAGCTATTACAATGACTAAATCAAGCCAAATAGGTATATACCACATGACGTACATGCACATGAATCCATACACACACACATATGTGTAGACCACAAGTTGCCATGAAAACCCATCATGGGCTCTTAAATAGGCAGAAACTATATGCTGTAACATTAACGAGAGTGAAAGAGAAAGAGAGAGAGAAAGAGTCAGAGAGAGGTAGAGAGAGAGCGAGCGAGAGAGAGATAGATAGAAAGAGAAAGCGATTTACTGTGCTGGAAAAAGCAAAAAAAATTCATCATCACGTTGCCTATCCTTGGCTTGCCATATGCTCCATTGGCATCTGCTAAAGCTACTCGATGCGCAGTTACAAAACTGCATGGCCATAAAGCTAAGCCCGAACTAATTTTGAAAGCCGACTAGGCCTAAGGAGCAGAAAGAATGGCGAAACGACGACTGCCAAGCGTTACAAAAAGCAAAACACTGTCAGCCATGAGAATATTGTCCACGAGGATGACGCAGGATGCGGCACAACAAGCAGCAGCAGCAATAGACGCAACGGATATTGCGCACAGCCTAGCCCCACTCCCAATGCGATGTGAGTGACGCTTGGGTGGAGGTTGGTGCCGAGGCTGTGACAAAATTGAAGCAGTCACTGGGTCCGGGCAACACTCGGATGATATTGCGTTGCTATCAAGATTTCAGTTGGAAACAAAAGTGAAGCCGCAAAAAAAAATAAAACATGGACATTGTCAGAGGTCGAAGCTCAAATGCCCTTATTAAGCACAAAGTACACAACATATTTCGGAAATGGAATTTGATTATATATGATTTCATCAGATAATCGATAAGCATTGTCTAAAATTCACATTTGCAGAAATATTCTGTAGCATACTTTCTGGTGTCATTCTTCCTTGCATATAAAAAAGATTGTGTGTACTAAATTAAGCTTGCATTGGCAAATAAGTCGAGTCGAGCTCACATATTCCGTTTGCGCTTAGAACTCAATTTTTAGGAATGCTTACTATCCCACCGGCATAGATGAATATCATTTTTAGAAGTTTTTCATATAGATTTATGCCTGTGTATCAACCGAATACACGGATACATAAATAAATGTTTTTTTTCTATGCTACCACTTAGCCAAAAAGTATATAATACCCTCAATAAGAGTAGATACCGGAAAAAAACGCATAGTCAAAATGCTTGGTGACAACAGGCAAAGGGTGAAACAATGACAAGAGAAATGGAGATAGAAAGCGCAGCAGGAAAAAAAATAAAAGAAAATGATAAGAAAAAAGGCAAAGAGGTTTACAACTTCTCGTAAGGCGGCTTAAACGATTTGCGAGTTTATGAAAAGCCAAACACACTTTACACACAATCTGATCTTATGAGCTCGCGCGTGTCTTGGGGTGTGTAAAAAAATTGTAAAACAAATGGAAAATTGCTTTTTGATGTAGTCAGTCAAGCTGGCCGTGCGCGCAAGTCGACGTCATCATCGGTTGATGCTGCTTGGCACGAATGAAGCACTTTAAGACGATTGCTTGGCTTTAAGTGTAAGGCCCAAATGCTTGCCGCAAGCCAGCTGCATGTTGCAGTTGCAGTCACGTTGCACAGCCTGCATTGGTGAATCGCAGCATATTTTAATCCCTGCATTTTATGCGGCCCAATGCCCATGAAAAGCAGAAGGATGACGATGTTGTGGTTGATATGGATGATGCCGCTGCTCCTCGACGGACATATATCGTATCAATATTGTTTTACGGTCCCTGCCGTGTATGCAAATGTGACCACGTAGTGCTGCCAGCCACTTCTGCTCACACCAGAGGACGTTGAAAGGCCGGAGAGCTGGCAAGGAGTGTATACAACGCGTGCCTGGCAACTGCTGGCAATTTGTGGGCTTTACCTTTGATAGGATGACTGCAGGGCAACGTGGGCGCTGGCTACCTATCCCCTGCCATTTATGGCATACTCATGCACGCTGCATCAATTTGAATAAATCTCATATAGCTTTTTCTCTCCTTCATTTCCAGATGCCGCCCAGGCGACGCTGCGTAATGTCAACCTGCTCGTGGAGCCACCGGCTGTGCGACGTGGCCAGTCGGTGGTGCTGCGCTGCGAATATCAGCTAGATGGCGCTCCGCTCTATTCGATTAAATTCTATCGCGGACAGTTGGAGTTTTATCGCTTCACGCCTGGCGAGTATCCACACACGAAGGTCTTTCAATATCCCGGCATCAAAGTGGACGTAAGTCCCTACCTTCTTTCCTTTATACAAACCACGTCCATTCCTCCCTTCCTTTAAACAACACAATAAAGCACTGATGTTTTTACAGGAAAGCAGCTCGAATGCAACCCTGGTGCTCATACGCAATGTCAGCTTTGGCCTCTCCGGCAATTTCAGCTGCGAGGTGACTGCCGACGCACCCCTCTATTCGACGGCCACCGCCTATGCGCAAATGCAAGTTGTGGGTGAGTATCGCATTAAAAGAACGGGGCCAAAAGTCAACCCACCCGCCTTCCATGACACGCCCTTCTCATTTGTGCGCCTGGCCACAAGGAGCCCAGAACAATGGCAGCCTCATCAAGATCAAGCGGCTGACCGTTGATGGTACTTCACACGCAGGGTCCCACGGCCTCTTGCCTTCCGTTACCATCCCTTCTGCCCAGTTCCTTTACACAAGCAGCTGCAATTAAAAAGACCTAGGGAAATGCCATAACCAGAGTATATATCTGCGAAATATCTTTAGATGCATTCCCTATATATCTTTAAAATATTTAAAATACCCGTTTATTATATAAATATATATAATATTTAAGCAGCTAGATAAAATGATTATAAATTTATAAATTTTAAAAACTGCCAAGGCGAGTATTTTTTATGAATTTGCGCTGTTGCAAAACCCTTTATTATTTTTTGTTTATTTTTTCCCTTTTTTTTTTTTTGAGCAACAGACAGAAGCAAACAAATGTTTGTTTATTTTTAGTACATCAAAGAGTAGTAAAAGGTTGCCTAATAAACAATTATTTTCTCTAAATATGTTACAGAATTCCCAGAGAAACGACCCCAGCTCTTTACAGAGCATAAGCGCTATGAGCCCGGCGATGTGTTGAGGGCCAATTGCAGCACATTGCCGTCAAGACCACGCGCCGAGCTGCGCTTCACCATTAACCAAATGCCGGTAAGTGTAACTGTATGATACTTGCGGCTCCCTGCTGCTCCTTGGCCCCATTTCCCACACTCAGCCGTGCAACTTACTGTCCAATCACGGTCCTAGGTAAGGTTGCGGCAGTGGGGCAATGAATTTATGCATTATAAAGCAGAACTTGTGGCATAGCCTAATTAAACAACGCTGGCTTGGTAAATGGGAACGTAAATTCTGTATAATTACGAAAGCCACTTGCTGAGCCTTAAACTCATTTCGAGCACATGTGTTAGGCTGTGGTGGGGCTTCGTTTAATCTCGTGCAATGTGCGCCATGAAATTTGTCGTTTATTTATGAATATGATGTAACAGGAATGGAACCCGAACCTAATTAAAATTTTCGGCTCAAAGCGAAATGTGAAACCTGCACACATACAGAATTAAGTCAATAGACGCAGAAAAGGGTTGCGCGCTTTGATTTGATTGTGCGATTTGCCCCTGTCATTTATCATTACACAAGAAGGCAAATAAAAATGGAAAATGCCAAATGGCAAATGCCAAATGGAAAATAGAAAAGGAAGCAAACAAGTCACTTGGGTCACACAGTCGAAGTCATATGCATACGCACTGCCTGGAGAGTACATCATTAGTCATTTGGCGGCATTTTCATGTTTGCATCCATTTTGCGACTGGGCGCTAATCAGTTGCATAAATCACAAATGAAATGCGAGCATGGCCCAGCCCAGACCCAGACTCAAGCTCAGGTCCGGGCCCCAGACCCAGGGCGGGGTTATCGTTTTTAAAAAGCAAATGCTTTCCATTTTTGTATCCCATTTTGACCGCAGGCTGGCCAACCTTTTTCTTTGTCGCATTGCTGTTATTAATCATAGCCACGACATAAAATAAATTACGTTAAACTTGTGCACAGAAATTGCCCGGTCAGAGCTGGACAAATCGGACGAGTCGGCAGAGCCGGACGCTGCCTTCAAATGAATTTACGAGACAACACTTTTCAGCTGGCACGCCCACACGAAGAGCGCAGAGCGCATTCGATTGTCGACTGTCGACTGTTGTCTGTCTGTTCATTGTCCTGACTGCTGCCAGGCAAAAGAAAACTTATTAAACGCTTCATAAATTTTTATATTATGTCTACCCACATCATCAGACATAACGTGCACTGGCACTGGCATCCTTCCCAATCTGTTGTCTCTCTTTTCATTTGTGCGTCTTATCCTGCCGTTTTGTATCTGTCGCTAGCTGTTGTCTACTTTTCGGGGCCCACACACACACACATACACACCCGCACACACACACATGCACGAATACGCTCACATGCAGGCCGTTGAACAGTTTATCTAGATGCCGCTTGCTTCCTTCCACTTTCAGTCAACCAACTAATGACAAAAAGCAAGACAAAAGTGCGCTGGGTATATGTGTGTGTGTGTGTGTTAGTGGCTTAGAGGGTTGGGCGTGGGGTAGTTAACCCCTCCGTCTGTCTGCCACGGCGTGCCATATAAAATTTTATGTCTGTGGTGTTTATGGTGGCGTAGACAGTCAGCAACAACACGAACAACACGAAATTTCATCCATTCTACTGGTATTTGCCTTGCAATTTAGTTTCATATGCCTGTAGAGCGGAGATGCTCTTCTGATATTGAATTATGATCTGGCTGCTGGCACTTTAAATGGCATCGAACGGCAACACATAGCCGTCTGTTACTGCAATCCATTCATACATATCTAAATCATGGCAGCTTAAAGCTAGCTACGAACAACACATGTTCAGTTATAAGTAAATATAGAGCCACAAAAAAAAAAAAATGAGTCTGGCCTTAAAGCAACACAACACACCATGCCTTAAACAGGCTTGATTGATATGCGTGGAAAATGAATTATCTCTCTATGGCCTTATCTCTCATCATATATTTGATATTTATAAAAAAAAAAAAAAACAATTAGGAAAATCCTACAATAGAAGTAGTATAAGTTTTCAATTTCCTTAAGACATTTATTTTATTCTATAAATAAGCACACTTATCTGAGCATGATGCATCAAACTTTATTTATTATTTATATATTATCTCTTTCAGTATATACATTTAAAAAAATAGTACAAAAACAAGCAGTAACATGTTGACCCATCCGATAGGAAGGGAGCTGGCGTAGCGACTAACATAATTTGTTAAAAAGTTTTTGTCATATTAATGGAAAAGTAGCTGAAAATGAATTTTTTTTTTGTGAATCATGGGAATTAGTTGGGATTAGAGCTGTCGAGACTTTCAGAGAGTTGGCGGCCAGACAAGTGGCCATTCGACAGTGGGATTTGTGCGCCAATCGATTTTTTGATAAATTATTTATTACAGATTATTTTTGGGTAGGGCTGCTACTGGAACTACTTCTGTAAAGGCTATAAGCGCATAATTAAAGCTGAGCAACAGCTTTAAGTGGCTGTGATTAATGAATCGACAGCAGATGGTGGGCAAATTGAGAAATTTCAGCTCAAATCGATAACAAACTCGATTAAAGGCCCATATGATGCGCATGAAGTTCTCTGAAAGCAAAACAACATTTGTAAATTGTGCAGAATCCCAGAATACATAGCTTCACATAGTTTCTCATATTTTATGCAATCACAATTGGCATCGACTAGCAAATACCTTTTCTGGAAACGCTACCACGTAGTTTGTTTAGTTTTGCCCTTTGTACACAATTAGCATAATCCTCTCTGCCACAAATTAACGTGTTTTGTGGACAAGCCCATATTAATAGACGGCCATCAAAATGAATTTAGACCCTCACACTCAAACCAAATGCAGAATCAACACACAAAGTTTGTTGCCCATTAGAGCAAGATTTAGATTTTGCTTAAAAACAATTCGCCAGCAAAGTGTTTACGCAAGCAAATGCCAAACATTCATTTAATTGCCCCAGTGAATGTATTTGGGTCTGGGTCGGTAGGTGTCTCTTGGGCCCTCGGCTGGGGTTCCGATGCCATAAAGGTAAATCACAAGAAATATGAGGGTATTTACACTTTTGGGTCGCTGCCTCAGCCACATGCTTAATTAAAGCGCTTGGCGTCTTAAGAGTTTCTCGTAAATTACGCGGCATTAAATTCCCAAGGGAGTGCGAGTGAAACAGTAGCCAAAAGAGAGCGAGATCGAGCGAGGGAGTGCGCGGAAAGCGAGTTAACTAAAAATGGCTTTTTATGTCGCTGTGCCTTTGCCAGCATGAAAATAAAAATAAAATTCAAATATAAAGTTAAGCCAAAAAACGTACAAGCAGAAAAATAAAATTTTCTGTGCGGGCGTGTGTGTGTGCGTGTGTAAGTGTATGTGTGTATGTGTATATAGAAGATTGTTGTAAAAAGGGTTAAGCAACAAAAACAACGACACGCACAACAATAAAGCGATTTTGCTTTTTAATGTTGTGGGTGTGCGAGTTGCTTGTGAATTGGCTACGCCCAAAGGAACTATGCTATTCAGATATCCTTTCAAAAAAGGAACTAGATATTTGGCTGGGTATTTCAAATGGGCATTGACTCCGTGCGACGGTTTGCATTTTACCATTAGATGCTTAGAGTTTTAGCCGTAGTTTACTGCATGCGTGGTATTTCATAGTCGACTACTCTCCATTGCAGCTGCCGCTGACCCAAATTTAAAGAAGGCACGTTGTCTTCAACCTCCAATTTCTTACACCTTTTTAGGGCACTAAGCAGCGCAGAATACATGCATAAGTAAATGACGCTCAAATGAGTTTGTAAGTGGAAATGAAATGCGTATTTATTGTATTTAAATTGCCAGCGGTTCGCAAAGGGCGGGCGGCTGTCATTTCAAGCAGCGTTAGCGGCAGGACATGCAGCAAACGGAAATGACACAACAGCCATTTGCAAAATGGCGCCTGCACTTCCTGCGTCAACAACAATGGACATTTGCGACTAAAAGCCTTGCACGATGCAGCTAACGGGTTTTCTTTCGCACCCTGCGTAAAGATGCGCCAAACGGAAATGATGTGCCCCAGTCGAACAGTGAAAATCTCTGGTAAATGAAACGGAAAGCCGTGTGAAAGGCTGAAATGAATATGCACATCCACATGCCTGTGCAGGAGCTTGAGTTTCAGCTAGAGCAGAGAGCCAAGCATACGATTTAGGCACAATTTTTGTAAGGACTTGCAGCTGCTGTTGTTGCTGTTTCTGTCATGACGGAAATGAAATTTTTAAATGCAAACAATGCAAACGGTATGACGGAGTGGCAGCAAGACACATAGGGAGAAAAACGGGTAGCCAGATGGAAAATGTTGCTTCTGCTGCTGTTGCTGTTGCAGCAGCTCAGCAACTCAAAGGCAGAGAGTAAACAGTTTGCATTTCAGTAGCTTTAACAACCAACAAGCAGCAACAACAAGAAACAAACAAACAACCTTGAAAAGCAGACAGTTAAACAAACTGTCGGACATTTGCACAGGCGAAAAAAAAGCAAACAGGGCGTATGAGTACTGTCCTTGCTGTTGCTTGTGTTGATTCTGATGCTGCTCTGTTTCTGTTGCTGTTGTTGCTGTCGCTGTTGCTGTTTCTGTTACTGTTGCTATAACATTGAAAACTGTTTTTTAAAAGCCAACAAGCAAAGGCAAAAATAACAACAAAAACAAAAATATGTCACGCCATGTCCGTTCATTCTCAGTATCCGCTTCCTAGCATCGCAAGTTGTCCCGTTGCCTTTGCCCATTGCTGTTGCCCGTTGCCAGCAGCTTTTGTTGCCACTGATGTTGCACATGCCTCCCTTTCCCATGCAGAAGCCTGCACATGGCTTGCCAGTGGTCGCCGGTGCCGCTGCCGCTACTGCTGCCGCAAGTGCAACATGCTTATAATAACCCCCGCAGACGACAAATTGCCATTCATATTCGTATGATATACTCGCATGGGGTTGTCCACATATCGGCCAGTAACTTTTTTGCGGCACTTTCCCGCACTCGGCAAATATATTTTTAGTTTGCCAAGCGGAAGCGGAAAGCAAAATCAGTTTCAGCTGCATACACCCACCCACACTCACACTCACTTAAACATATACACACAGGGGTATGAATAATTTAAAACATACTCTCTGACATACGTATTTTATACGCATATGGTAGTTAGTTATTTAGTTAGTTCTGCACGAGACTGAAAAAGGAGTTGAGTGCTGTTGAAGGGATTGCAATTAGCTAATCGTGCACAATTCTCTCCGCCAGGTGACCCAAGAGGAAACACAATACATTCGCACGGTTGATAACTTAATAGCATCCAGGCTGAGCCTCAAACTTCAATTGCAAGCGGTGCACTTTGTGGCCGCCGCCAATGCCAATGGAAATGTCAACGGCAACGGTCATGTTCGATCTACCAATGTGCACATGACAAATGCTTTGGGCCACGGCGGAGCTGGAGGACTCATGTTGCGCTGCACGGCTCAAATTGGTGATTTATATCAGGAGTACAAGGAAATTGAATTGGGCTCACCGCAAAAGGATCCGGTGCCAGCCAGAGGTAAGCCACAACCACAACAAACACAATCCAAAACACCTTCCACATTTGTTTTGTAAACGCATTAAATTGCCCATTGCAGTTACACTCTCATCCGGCTCGGGACTGCGGAATTTCTTGGAAACCTATTTCTACACATCGGCATCTGGCAAAGGGCAGAGCGTGGGCAGCTTTTTCATTTGCTGCCTAATCTCCATGTTCGGAATGATAACAAGCGGCAGCTAAATGCAAAATTGATTACATTTTAGCTACAATTACATAGAGTACAGCTTGAACATGAAATGTGTATAGCATAGATAATGGCTTCGATGTGTAGCCAATTGTATTAAGCTTAGCATTGCCCCCGACACCTACTCACTGTCGCACAGCTGCAAAAATATCCCATTTAAAAATACTATATAAATTACACATTACTACGTATATGTTGTACACACTCAAATTAAATATTACAATTTTGTACATATTTGTTTTATGATGTAAGCCATTGCACGTACATTAGATGGAATGCACTGCCGCATACACCCACACCGACAGACGGACGGACTGAGAGAAATATAGACAAGCAAACATGGCTAATTGTTAATTAATGGATTATTTAATGATGCATTAAATATTGCATAAATTATTATTTCAGTTGCATTTAACTCCATTACAAACAGCTGCAATAGCACTTCGAATATCAACTTTAAATATAAGCAGAAAAACTATACAAACAAAAACAGGCAATTTAAAAATTGTAAAAATAAGAAAATGCATTTAAAATAAAACAGCATAGATATTCAAATACGCATACTACTGAGTTAATTAATTAAAATTATAGGTATTTCATATTCAGGTAAGTATATGATTGCATTCAGCGAACATTGCCATAATATTATAGCCAAACATTTATTAATAATTGTTTGCTAATAAGCGTACGATTACACTCCCTAAAATTAGTAATAGAATTTTAATCTTTTCGCCTTTTTTTTGCAAATTTAAAATATACATATCTATTTTATCTATATTTTGTAATCGTCCTACAAAGTCTACAGCTTTGCGTGACTCTCACATTTAATTCATATTTCTTCTTAAGTTACTGAATTATTTTTATTTAATTCTTGCTTGCCCTCGTGAACTTTTACTCTTGTGCAACTAAAGAATAAGAATTTAGAATAATCGGCTTACTTTGCTTTTTATTTGAGCTATACAGTCTAAAAAATTTGTCGGAGTTTAACTACAGATGAAACGGTGGTAGGTATTTTAAGAAAGTCACACATTTTTTTTATTAAATTAAAGTCAATATTTCAGAGGGCTACCGACTACTAATCTGTCTGCGCTCTGTGAATCTCTCTATATCTCTCTCTCTCTCTCTTGCTCTCTCTCTCTCTTTTCTTCTCTTCTTCACTTTTTCCCTCTCTCTCTCACTCTATAAATTAAATATGTTTTCTGCCAATTTTACTGAGATTATGAATATTGTGTAATTGCAATGAGAACATTTATTTTATTGTAATTATTCTTGGTAATAGACTCATCATTTTGCGGTATATCAGCCTTACTTGCCTTTTGAGTGTACAGATATTCGATTTAATGCTGTTGCATAAATCATTTTTTTCGTTTCAATTGCTTAAGCATATTTCAAATTGCGATATATATTTGCTTAAGGGCGTGGCCAATGGCAGCGCAAAGAAGAAAACGAACGGAACTGGCTTCGGGGCTCGGGTGAAATGGCGAAAGCAGCCCGTTAACACACAGACAGCAAATGCATTTGCCATTTGCCAGGGCTGCAAGTTGGCCACGGGCCAGTTGAAAGTAATGAAAAATCTGCGTTTGCCAAAAAGCAAATATCCAATACACACAACTATGTAGCCAAGGCGAAAAACGGACTTTTGCCCACTTATGCAAGCAGCCGAGCGCGCGGCAAATAAAAACCAAACGCAGAGGCAGCTTCAAGGCGGCACCGCAAAACGGAAACGGAAATCGGAAGCTGCAACTGTGCGGCGCAATCGTCCAAAGCAGCCCAGCAACAAAAATAGGCGGCACCCGGACACAAGGACAACAGCAGGCGAACCGGGGACGGCGATAAAAGTGTTGCAATTTATGGGCAGGCTGGACGGCGCCCAGGCTCCGTTCGCAGCACCTACAGCACAGTGTGCAGGCAGCTAAAGTTTCTGGCTAATTGATTTTGTGATTTTATCTTTTAATGACTTTTTCGCAAAGTGCAGCGCTGAAATGCCGCTGCCTCGTACATACACACAGATATATGGTTCACATGTACATATATTTGATTTTAATTGCATATTAGTGCAAAGCCACTTGGTTCGATTTATAGAAGGCAAGTCTTTAAATAAATCCAGCTTTCAATCAAAAATACAATTGTATCCCCCATCTTGACTTAGTAATTTCTGGCTGCTCCCAAAAGTATGCTTCGAAATATTATTTTTTGGACCAGCTTTAAAAACGCACAGAAACCGCGTGGAAAAGCCATGTGCCATATCTAACTACAACATTCTAAATTACAACATAATAATAAGCTTAAATTCTTTGCATTTTTTTAAATCGCAGCTTATTGCAAATTGCATATTGACATATGCTCTCCGCAAAGATATATGTCCGAAAATTTTATTGCGTTGTCAATTATTTACGCACTGCAACTGCTACAAGTACTTAGGAGTGCACTTAGACAGGCGCTTGACCTTAAAGAAACATATCACAAGTGTTTCAGAAGCCCTGAAGAGCAGATTGGGAAAAAATAGATTAGCTCTGAACACATTGCTAGGAGTTATCTTTAAAAAGTAATGTAATGTCACAAAACATACTTATTTGTTAGGATGGTTTTGTATGCATTCCATGACTTTGATTATAAATGATTATTATTTATATTCAATATACACCTTCTTTTACTTCTATCTTATTCTACTCTCCATCTGCAAAACTTGCAAAACTTGCATTTGCTTCTGCCTGGCGTTATGGAATCTAAATATACGGGATCGCTGTAAAGTCCCATCTTGTGAAAATCAGGGTGTTACAGGCAAAAACGCTCAGCAATATTTGGTTTGTCCAAAGTCGCGGACGTTATAAATATACAGGCTGCGAACTATAATGAAGATTGAAAATCATCCAAATCGTCTGGCTAGGTGCCTACTAAAGAGACGTAGAATTAGAGGAGTACAAATGCGGAGTAGATTGCCGAGGTCTCATCCAATCGATCTGCTAGACTTAACAGTAGAATAAGTTTAATTGTAAATTGTTCCATAATTACGGTAAAATTGAAATAGGGCCAACAAAATGTAAAAAAAAAGAAAAAAAAACTAACAGCTCAGAACGCAAAAGCTAAATAAGAACATGAAATGTCGGCAGAAATTAAGAAAAAGTAAACAAAGTTAATTGCCTTAACCACAGCATATCATAGCTTCAGCCGAAACTCAACTAGCCAGGAGTCGAGTGCTGCTCGGCTCTTCAGCTGGGCCGCAAAAAATGTTTTGATGACCAATAAAACACCGGGTAATGTCAAGACTTTTTGGACAGTTAATTGAATAAGGATTCACCTGTAACTAGGCCAGTTCAGTTCACAACATGGAACTTTCGTGTCTGGGCTTCGAACACAATTGCTTCGTTAGCGTTTAAAACACATTTATTTCTGGTTGCGTACAAAAATCTGCGAACAATTTATATGGCATGCTATGAATATTTGATGCTATCAAACACTTTAATTTTCGCCCTTGTAGCAAAAGCATTTTTTATGTAATTCCATTTGCTGATTTTGACAGATGAAATTTTCGCACAAAATTTACATATATTGCATATTGTTCCGCACAGCTACGTGCAACCTGCTGACAAATCATCATTAATATCGCGGCTACGTAAGTTTGGCCCAGTGCCTGTGTATATGTGGGTGTGGGTGTGTCTGTGTCCGTGTGTGCGTTTCAACAATAGCACTTCGTTAGTGCAACAACCGGCAAATAGCAATCAAAATTAAATAAACATATTTATGCATAAAATTTGATTTTGATATTTTATGTGTTTGTCCATGGTCCGCACTAAGTTCAACCAGTTCATGGATCATTGCAATTTAATTGTATTTTTCGTATTTAAATTCGAGAAAACAATATTAATGAGCAACCATCTAGTGAATTTTATGGAAAATGAAATTTTAATAATACAATTGTTTTTCATATCACAAAATTACAAATAAATTTTGCTGCCAAAAAGGCCATCCAGCTAATTATCTAACCAAATTTAATTTTCTTTTTTATTACAATATTTAATAATTGGCACAACAAAACAATAGCATAGAGTAGCTACACATTGTCATAATTTATATATATGTATACATATTTTTTATGTAGATATATGGTACTTCACAATGAGTTTGCGCTATTCGGAACTGAAAGACTGGAATAATGTTGAGTATTAAACCCAATTTGCGCTTTCATATGATTTCGCTTGCATATATGTTTGCTTTTGTAATTTGCATTTAATTTTGTTTTATGCAAATTTCCCATAATAACAAATATTGCAATAAATTTACAGCTGCAATTTTGTCGTTTCATTAAAACGCAATAAAAACAAATTAAATGATTGGTGCGAAGCAAATAAAATAAATAAAAAATAATTGTACGGTGTGAAGATATCGCCAAAGAGGTTACCACCACCTCAATTGCTCTTTAAACGACTGATTCGCACCCATCAACGACATGCCAGAGCCGAGGGTCCGACCAAAGGTGTGTAATCAAGAGTGCAACAAACAGACAAGCCAAACAGAGCTCGGCGTGATGGCAAGGGCAGATGGCATGTGATGTGTCACAGAGCGATACAACCGAAGACCACAAAAGACATTTTCAGTACGAAATATCCTGTAAGCACACGTGTAGTGTTCACAAAAAATATCTAATGACATACATCAGTGTGATCAATAAAAAACTGAGAGAATAACAGCATGAACTTAATACAATGAAAATTTATATATATAAGATAATAAGGGTATAATTAAATCACCTTCAATGTATTCATAAGGATTATCATGCAACTAGTTCCAAATGGTGAAGATAAAAACTAAACTTGAGATTTTAAATCAGAGCCAAAGTCTCTCGGTGTAGTACTTATCTGATTCGGCTTTAATGTTCAATTTAAAAAGTTGCAAGCAGCCAAAGTGAGAGAGAGAGAGAGAGAGAGAGAAGGGGGATGTCATCACGTAGGCTCGGCGCGTCTGTCAGCGTACATTCTATAGCCGGAATACCTAATTGTGGGACAAACGCCCACTCCCAAAAACGCATACTACACGGTAAAGCACAAAAGCTCATTACGCATACGCCGCGTGACGCCGTGGCAAACAATGCAAGCGACAACGACAATGATGATGGCAGCAGCAGCAGAAACAACAGCAGCACTGGAAGCCACATCATAAGCGTTTGAACCGCATTTGCACACATGAATTAAGCATTCCACAAAAGTAACAGTAGCTGCAGTGCTTCGCGGCACATTCCAAGGACTTTCAGCCGCAAGTACCACACCGCACCACGTTCAACTGGCAAACGCACACTTTTGCACACCATGCACGTCATGACCTGGTCATGTGTGTTAAACGCGTTGGCGGGAATGGAAAATGGAAACAACTAACCTATGACTGCAGGTTGCGCAGTGCTGCTGCTGCATGCTGCTTCCCAGTCGCTTTCTCTTTTTCCATCTCTTTGTCGCTTGTGTCGGATGCGCGGCGGCTTAATGCAACTGCAATTTATTATGGGGCACGGTGGCAGTTCGG